AAAAAGTGTGTAGGAGGGAGGTTAGGGGCCAACCTGCTGACCGTCCCACAGAGACGAGAACGCGGCTCGGTTCTTAAATCGTGTAGCGTAGAGCCGAACCAATTGCCCAGGCAATTACGAGACTTTTAGCAGGGCTCCTCCGTGTTTGTTTGTCTCGACCCTTGCCTATATCTTGAGAAATCTCTACCGGATAGCGGCTGTATGCTTCAAGCCAGGTGAAAACCTTTTGAGGTTTGAATTTATAGTAGCTAACTCCCCTACCCTACATCTGAGACACCCCCACTTCTGAGATATTCAAAAATCTCGTATTTCTCCTCCTTTATTAACATCACTACCTTTTTTAAACTATTATAATATTTTATATATATAACTAAATAACGCTATTTTTTTAAGATACCTTTTTTAACTTATTATAAAGTAATATACTAAAGATAAGCTTTATTAGGCCCTTCTAGATATATAAAATAAGTATAGTATCTAGGCTGCTGCTTCTAAATGGGGCATACTATACTAGTTACTTTATTATTAATACTATAGGCAGTAAAGTAAGGATACTACCTTTACCTATATATAACACTTATCTTAGGCCTAAGAGGATAATCTAGCTGCCTATATATCCCTCTAAGCTTCCCTTAGTAAGTAGATTACTTATTAATAAGTAAAAGGCCTAGTAGAGTATATAATAGGTAATAGGTATCCTCTTATAGGAAGGAAATAGATAGCCTAATTTATATAGTAAAATCTATTTATTAGAACCCTTTAATCTAGAGTAATTAATACCTAGTAATAGGCAGCCTATTCCCCTAAGGTTATCTAGGATTTCTTTTATTACCTTAGTAGTATCCTTACTATTTAAGGTATCTATTTATTTAATAAATAAAATATAGATAAGACTAGTATTATAAGAGGTAAAGAAGTTAATAGGCTAGTATTAGGCTTTATAATATTATAATATATTTAGAAAAAGCAGCTAGGATCCTAGGTATAGGTATTTATTATTAAGTGTGTGTCTGTCTTCACGTGATGTGCGAGAACCGCTCTGGCTTGCTATCTTCAAACGCTAGGTGACAGCGGGGACCCCTTGGAGCGCGGCAACCCGTGTGTGAAGAGCGAGTAGATTACGTGGGCGGAGACTTACACCGTTAGCGACAATTAATTAACGGACCTGTCCGGACCCTCTCCTGTATTCCCACCCGCCACGAAAGCTCCAAGCGTTGCCAATTGTTCTGTACCGCATGCGGCTCTCCCACCCTTCTACGACGAAGGTAATTAGCTCATATCCTTTTATTAAATCCCCTCTACAAATACCGTCCTGTAAGGAGTGTCTCGTTTCATGCCCTATGCTGACTAGCGCGCGAGGCGTGGCACAGAGTAACGAGCCATATCTTGTGTACCAAGACGACGCAGAGCGCCCATTTAGGACTAGTGTATTGCTCCACAAAACCATAATAGTGACGGGTCGTATTTATAAGGTCCTTTCTCGCTCGGAATAGACGTGAACAACTCCCACTCCAGAAGGTCTTAAGCGATTACGTTACTATCCTCTAGCCTCTAGATATAGCTATCTTTAGCCTATTAAAGTAGGCTTATTACTAGAGGGTTAGATATCTAGATAACTAAGTAATAAATTTAACTATTACTAGTAAAAAGGTATTTTTAAAGTATTATTTTAAGGCCTATAAGGTATTTATTATAGATATTAATATTAAGAGTAGCTAAAGGGCTGCTAGGTTATAGCTAGTATCTAGAAGGCACCCTCTATTTAACCTACTAGTCACTAAGGCCTAGCAGGCTAGCTAGGCTAGCTAGGCTAGCTAGTAGTCTAGTAGCTAATAGTAAGATAAAGCTAAATCTATTATCTTATAGTTAACCCCTTATTAATCTACTAATCTATAGTATTAATTATATTAGTTAACCTAGCTAGGTAAGGATAAGTTAGATACCTATACTATCTATTACTTATCTAGAAAAGTATAAAAAGGATATAATAAGTAGGTATCTAGAGTAGCCCTTTTAAAAAGGTAAGTTAACTTATTATAGGCCTAGTTAGATAATATATAGTTATATAAGAGGAAAAAGGTCTGCCTATTACCTAATAGCACCTTTACTACTATAGAGGATATTATCTAGGCGCAGAGTCTAGATGCTAGTAATATAGATAGTCTGGATAAATCTAGGGTATCTAAATTGCCTAGCGAGGCCAAAAGTTGCATATAGGTGGGCGGCAGAGATGGTGAAATAAGTGGTGATAGTGGTGGTGATGATAGTGATGATAATGTCTCGGATGTGGGGGTGTCTCGCAAGTAGGGTGGGGGAGTTATTAGTAGTGTAGAAGATAATCAACCGAGCTAGGTCTGAGAGGTTGGCTTTCTCTGCCAAACGCTGATTGCGCATGCAAATTCAATTTACCTGATAGTATGCCTCCGCTAATAATACTCAGGGCCTGCAGCTGGCTGCTATACAAGTACCGTGTCGTGAAGCTGGGAATATCATCGTGTGGCTGGTACCAGTTGTGCCCGCCACAGATGTGGCTTACCACATGTACAGACCACTCAAGTATCTACGGTCTCTATATATGTGCCCCTCCGTATTGCACCTATTTACGGGAATGGCAATTCCTAGGCATGCCCAGGTCCCGAAACAAAGCAACAGCAATATCCAGGGCCGTAGCCGCAAATCCGCCGCCGTCCCTATTAAACCCCTGCGTGCTCGTCTGGAGTGCAGTCTCAACTGCGAGCCCCAGTGCGCGACCGACCTTATTGGAGCTCTGCAACAGCCCACTGCCCAAAACCTGATCGGCGGAGGGTAGCCTGGCTGCTATGAGCAAGCTAACGACGGCCTAGACGATTTCGATACTGAAGCATATACACATGGCGGGGAAGCCGTAGGCCCAGGACGTCATCTCGGGTGGAATGGTAGAGATGGCCGTGACGAAGGAGGATGCTACGCCGCAGACTAAGCCGAAATTATTGTGCCAGTCTTGCTCTAGATCAGAGTGAGATTCTTCCTTATATCTCCTCTAATCTCTGACTCTTGGCTTATGTAACCTGAAGAAACACTCCTGACTCTCTAGTATACCTCTAATCTATGCGCCTTACCCTACTCTACTACTTAAATAGCTAGAGGTCTTGTACGCTTCATGATAAGTAGCCATTCATAGTTGATATTGGATTATAGCTTACTAAGAGATTTATTAGATTTACTTAGCATATATAAGTAAAGATAATTAGATTTATGTTGCTTAGTACTAGTATGCACCATGATTAGGCCAGTTTATACATACAAAGCCGCGTACGTAACCAGTAATCACTGATGTTTTTGGATACTTCCACGTGTCGAGTCTCATGAACAAGGAGGTCGGCGCTCTTACCCCTTCCTGGCGGGATTCGCTGCGGGGCAGTTCCGCTGTGAACAACGAGGTCCTCCATGTCTCTATGATTCATTCCCGCCCTGATTTCGGAGAGCGAGAATGCCTGTAGCCGATTCAACGGTCGATACCGAATAGAATTGGCTCAGAACCGACGCAGCCGCGAATCCATGGTCACGGCGGGTTTGGCTGGTCGCAGCATGTCGCGCGGTGTTACGATGCCTGTAAACTTTTTTAACTTTTTTTTTTCTTCGAATGTGTTGGTCATCGAGGAGAAGAAAGACTTACAGACGTAAGTCATCTAGATGGAAAATTCCAAAATGATTGTAAAGCTGGTCATCCCCTCTTAGCGCGTCGGTCGTCATGTTGCGGTTCTAGCACGGGTTTGTCGTATCGTACCTAGTTCCACGGATACCCCTTCGAGCAACTTGAGATCAGAAAATATGCAGCGGAGAATACTAAACCACGAAAAACAGTAGCCCCAAGAGAGGATGCCTAGTTTACCTGAGGTATTGGATTGAGGAGTGTGGTACGATTGGGTGACTTTACAGCTTACCCCGTCCTTGTTGACTGATTCCGAGGACGAAATATGTCACGCAACAAAACGACGCTTTGAGTTACAGGCAGTAACTAGCGCCTTATATCTCGTGAGAAAACGTTACTGTACGCTGCCTCTTTGAGAGTATTGGTCAACTTGCAAAGGCAATTCGTGATTGCCAGAGGATTTTGAATTGCGATAGAAATAGAAACATCCCCGCGAATGTACCATTAACAGACATGTATCCTGAAGTTTGTAACTCTCGTCACTTACCTACTGTACGAAGTGCCAGCTTGGGTATGTGTCCGTTACAATGCGTCTCTTACTACAAGTTCTTCTTTTTATCGCAGCGGTTGGGTTTCGTGCGGTCTTCAAACAAACCAGAAACCCTGCTAAAGACTTTCCAGGCAGAGAGGCTACTGTTGACCTAGTTACCGACTCGGATGTGGAACGCACGACGAACCCCCAGCTCTTCAAGAAGCTCTATCACAAGTTGCAAACTCTCGTGAGAATGCCCCCCCCCCCCCCCCCCCCCCCCCCCCGAAGGTGCAGTAAAAGAGGCTCGAGAAGAACCATAGAGTAAGTCCGGTTAATTTTCGCCAAAATATATACTATCTATGGCGTCATCAATCCCAATGATAGCCGCGGTGTTTGTAGTTTTCACACCTTCGACTTTGAGCTGATGCTTATTGCCGTCTTTTACAGGGCTGACCAGTCTTGACTGCTTGGAATTGCACCGGTTTCTATCTCGGGCTTATATAATTAGGCATTTAATGATATTGATAATTATGTGATGGGATGAATCATAGTCTACAGTTTACAAAGTCATTTAGACTATTCGGCTTCTCCAGACTTCCGGATCTAGACGTGTAAGTAAAGGGTGGATCTGGGGTTGGGACCAGGGCCGCGCCTTGGCTTCCTAATATGGACTAGCGCGAATCGTACAAGATGCCGGGCCCCGATCCACCAGGCCAACTTTGGGTAAAAGACCCGCCGTCACCTTTCCACTCTGACAACTCTACAACTCGATCCAACTTCATGCAACCTCGGACGGCACGAAACACTTGCCGGCCAACCAAATATGTCCGGACAGCCATGCCTGACGTGTCTTACGCCTCCAAATCGTGCTGGACTTGCCGGCAGAAGCGGGCCAAGTGCGATAGACTCCTCCCAGCTTGTCTCCGCTGCTCCTCCCTGAAGCTGCGATGCCAAGGCTATGACCGGCCGAAGAAGCTCGTCTGGACCAATAGCATGGCCAGCAGGGGCAAAATGATGGGAAGAGCTACGTTCGGTACGAGCGAGTCGACAGATAAGGTTGCGCTTGCAAGGCCTACTCTCCCGGGGTCTGTGATGCTGAAACGCTTGGCGGAGACAATGCAAGATGCATGTCACTTCTCGGTTGAACTCTCAAGGCCGCTTACAGACCCCGATCTGCAGGACATGCCTGATGACTTCCGGAGTTACATACGCTACTGTAAGCCGCAGCCCGATTTCTCCATGTCCGAGGCGCTGACCCGAAGTGATGCGCCAGTCGACTTGGAAATGTCGAAGGAGTGCGTGGTCTACTATCAGACATCCAGCAACCCCTTCTTGGCTTTGATGCCACTCATGGCCAAGAGTCAGGCGCTGTCTCATGCAGTGGTTGCGATATCCGCCTTTCACTACTCCCATCGAATGCTTATCAATAAGGCGCAGCCCCCCTCAGGCGAACCCAGAGGTGCCGATATTGTCCCGCTGTATGCGTCGCATGACCACGACTGGCAGTTGACTCAATCATGTTTCTCTCCATCACTGCAGACAGCTCTGGCGCACAAGCAGAAGGCCTTGAAATATCTGAAGTCTGAGATAGGTAGCCAGGACGTGACCAACAACGATGCGGTGGTTGCAGCCATCGTTCTCTTCGTATGCATGGACGTAGTGGAGTTTGGTAGCCGGGGCTGGGAGTACCATCTGGGAGGCGCCGGGGAGATTCTTCAGACGCGCAGGAGGGCCCTGGCGAATGGGAACTACGAATCTTCCCCCTGGCTAGAGTATTTCGACACAGCCTACACGACGTGAGAACATCACATTTGGCTCCCCACCTTCCCAGTGCTGACCCTTGTGCTAGATTCGGAGTCCTGGGCGCAACGCTAGCACCGGCAGAGGGTTATCTTTTCCAACAGCTCGCTTCACTAGATCCATTTCTTATGCAAGCTTTGCGACAGTCCGAACACCAAACCTGGGTTGGTTGTCCTGCCGAGCTACTCTACTTGATTTCGGTTGTGAACTCGTTGCGTTCGGATTCTTCAACTGTCACTGGACGGCTGGCTGCTATTAGAGAGCTGCGCAACAGCTTACAGACCTTCTCGCCTCCAGTATGGGCCACAGACTTCTCGGATTCAAACTACCACGAATCGCGCGCCCATCTTGCATATGCCTATAAGGCGGCAGTTGAGGTTTATGCCTCTCAGGTTATCGGGGTCGCTCCCGAAGCTAACTATTTGTCGAGACAGTATCTTGATGAAAATGTCCCGTCTGCAATACTCCATATGCTGTCAATACCCGCTCAGGACTTCCACGTCAAGAGTCTGGTATGGCCGGCGTTCATTCTCGGAGCAGAAGCGCAGACCACCGAGCTCAGAGACATGGTCCGAGCACTCTATTGGGATGTTTGGATTTCCTCATGCTGTTACAATGTCAGAAACGCGATCGACGTGCTGGAACGGCTGTGGGCGCGGAGTGCGTCTGAAAGCGCGTCGAAATCGTGGTTACAGTACGTTTGGGATCTGGAAGACAGCTGGTTGTTTCTTTAGTTATGGGACTGGCTTTCATACAGGTAGACCATCAGATCTCGGGAACGATAGATAGACAAGGGTCATACTTGTTTGCAACGCTTACAGCCAAGAGGAGGCCGTGACGCGACTAAATGCTGCAGGACGCTTAACCCCGGACGGAAGAAGCGGGTCGGCCGCGCTGCCATCCCAAAACCGGAGCCCGTGCAGCCCCTCAAATGGAGATCCCATGCGCCGGAACTCACGTTGGAAAATCGGGGACTGATAAGAAGCAGAGTTTCTGTCGCAGTTTGAGGCCAGCAACCATATTAGGTCATCCACACCTGGTCTTATAAATATGCATGTTTTCCCTTCATCGTTCATTCTTTGATTTTCTTGTCATCGTTTCGAGTCATTGCGTTACTTCGGCCACTTAACAACTCACAAGATGTCTGCCCCGCATCCCCTCTGCCCCCTCTCGGGTGCGGAGATCCAAGCCGCTGCACAGTTAATCCAGACTTGTTGGCCACAGTCTGTCTCTCTTCAGTTCAAGGTGGTGACGCTCAGCGAACCAGCCAAGGCTGAACTGGCGCCTTACTTGGATGCGAGTGACAGAGGACAGTCTCCGCCCCAACCTGATCGTCGTGCTTTCCTGGCTTACTACGTTAGGGGGACGGTAAGAGAACCAGAATGCCTCATGAGGATCAACTGAATGCTCACTGACTCGAAATAGGACCTCTTCCATGAAGCCGTTGTCAATTTGACGACAGGGAAGGTTGAAAGCAACGTCAAGCTGGGAGCCAACGTCCACGGCAACGTCGACTATGACGAGGCAGAGATTGTGGAGAAGATTGCCCTCAAGGACCCCAAGGTCCTGGCCGAGATCAAGAAACTCGAACTTCCAGAGGGCGCCGTTGTCTGCGCTGATCCTTGGATTTACGGTAAGGACTCTGTTTGCCTGACGGCGACGGAAGGGGGAGGCTGACGTTCACGAGGGTCGGATGGCGTCAACGACGACGAGCGTCTCTATCAGGTTTTCCTCTACATGAGAGACCCGAACAACAGCGCCGAGCCTGACTCAAACCACTACGCGTTCCCGCTTCCTATCTTGCCCGTTGTCGAATGCAACGAGTACAGGATCATCCGCATCGACATCTTGCCGACCGGTGCGGACAACACCATCAAGCCTCTGAGCCCTTATAAGCCCAAACCCGGAAACGAGTACATCCCAGAATGTCAGAATCTCCGCAAAGATCTCAAGCCACTTCACGTCAGCCAGCCTGAGGGACCTAGTTTCACTGTCACCCCTGTCGGAGAGACCGGTAATGTTGTTAAATGGCAGAAATGGAGTTTCTTCGTTGGTATGTTGAGACTGTGTTGGCCTAGACATTCGCATAAGCGATTAACTCTCAAGTAGGATTCAACCAGCGTGAAGGTATGGTGCTTTACAACGTCAAGTATAATGGCCGTTCGCTGTTCTACAGGCTATCCCTCTCGGAGATGAGTGTGCCATACGGTGACCCTCGCCACCCTTTCCACAAGAAGGCCGCCTTCGACCTGGGTGACGCGGGTGCCGGCACCACCGCCAACAACCTCCAGCTGGGCTGTGACTGCCTTGGAAGCATCCAGTATCTCAGCGGCGTCGTCACCAATGACCGCGGCCAGCCGGAACCCAGGGAAAACTGCATCTGCATCCACGAGCAGGACGCCGGGATCTCCTGGAAGCACACCAACTACCGGACGGGACGGGCTGCCGTCGTCCGATCTCGGGAACTGGTTCTTCAGAGCATCATCACCGTCTCCAACTACGAGTACATCCTCATGTTCATCTTCAACCAGGCGGGCGAAGTGACCTACGAGGTCCGGGCCACAGGCATTCTCTCTACGCAGCCCATCGACCACGAACTAGACAAGGTAGGCACGTCGTTCGGCACCGTCGTCCATCCCGGCGTTCTTGCCTGCCACCATCAGCACATCTTCTCCCTGCGCGTCGACCCGATGATCGACGGCCACACCAACCAGCTGGTCTACTCGGAAGCTCACAAGATGCCGCGGGATCCCGAATGGAACCCCCACGGCACCGGGTACGAAGTCGTGGACAAGGTCGTAGAGAAGACGGCAGGCCTGGACCTCGACGTCGACTCGAATAGGACGTTCAAGATCACCAACCCGAACTCGTTGAACCCCGTCAACGGCAAGCCGGTGGCCTACAAGATTGTGGCCCCGCCCTTCCAGAAGCTCATGAGCGACAACGACAGCTTCAACTACAAGCGCGCCGAGTTCGCGGACCACAACATCTACGTCACGACCCACAGAGACCGGGAGCTCTACGCGGGTGGCTGGCACACGAACCAGTCCCGCGGAGGGACCGGCGTCCGAGGCTGGTCGCAGCGCAACGAGACCCTGACGCCCGAGTCGGACATTGTGGTCTGGGTGCAGTTCGGCATCAACCACGTGCCGAGAATCGAGGATTTCCCCGTGATGCCGGTCGAGATCTTGAAGGTGCACTTGAAGCCGGTCAACTTCTTTGACAAGAACCCCGCTCTGGACGTACCCCCGAGCCAGCAGAGTTTCAACAAGAGCACCTTGGTGGAATCGAGCAAGGATGTTGGCGGCGCAGGCAATGATGGTTGCGGCTGTGGGTCACCGTCATCAAAGCTCTGAAAATGGATAGACGGTTTGATACGAAACTTCTAGCGTAGACTTGTACACATTTTATATACAATGCCACATTGAGTGCCCAAGCTGTAAGCAAGCCCTATACAACCATGTTGGCAGATGAATCAGGAACCCAGACGCCTAGTCCTAGGCGAAGAGCAACGGGTCTCTCAACATACACTTTATATTTATTTTTACTTGAAATCCCGCCTCGACTTTCACACGTTATGTGTGGGAGCAAGCAGCAGCAGCAATAGTGCCTCTATTGGTGGTGGTGATCTAGGTGAAGCTGAAAGGTGGGCTGCTACTGATCAGTGTTGGTATCACAGATTGGGTCGACCAAGAGGCAGTAATAGGCTGTATTGCTTGTTCGATGCTGTGGATGTAGATAGATGATGATGTATAACTGCGCCAAACAGAGGTCTCTTCTCAACGGCACAAAGGCGGAAGGATTCTCAGTCTGCGAGGATGGCGGCGGCAGCAGCGTGATGGACGCCCTAAACAACAGCACGAGGCGGAGGTTGAAGTTGGAGTCGAAGGTGGGCTTGAGACAGACGATATTCTTGTTAGCACAGCGACAGGATGTGGTGAGCCGGAAGCTGTCTCTTCTGTCGATAGCCTCACTAATTTGTGATACAAGCTATCCCAACCCTGCCAATCCTGATTCGAAGATGGCGGTAGCCAAGGCGCATACTTACGGGTCGAATAGGCAGACTCGTCGGCCGGGCCATCGTACTGATCAACCCATTGCGCCCGCGTACAATTGTCGATCGTCATTTTCTTCGGGAGTTTGCTTCGCTGACGAAGTAGCTGGCGATGGCGTTGAGCAGCCTCCTGTCGGGCCGCCTCATTCGCTTCCCATTGATCGAGTTCCGCCTTGCTGAGTTTCGACTGTGCAGAGGCTGGCAAAGGGGAGAGGAGCGGTTGAGTAACGTGGCCCACCACACGTCTTTCTTTCGTTGCTTCTTCTCTTTCTTCTTCTTTCTCTTGTCTTTTTCACCGAGTTCAGTGGAACTGGAGCCACATTATCAGAATAGTGCAAGTAAACTGACTTTCAAGACCCAAAACCATCATCACCATCCCCATCTTCTCCCAAGACCCTTCAGCTTTGGGACGCGTGATGTGTGCTACCTGTGGACCCTGGCAGTACGCATTAACTAGTAACAGCTTTTGAAAGCCCCAGTGTCGTGCTTGCCGCGTATGAGGGTAAGCATTAGGTTCATGCCGGCGAGGTTGTCCGCTAAAGTGGTTTCGGTCCGCTTTATGCAAGCTTTCCAGGCGGTACGACGGGGACGTCGCGTCTGCCGCCGCACCATGTTGAAGAGCGCCTGGGCGAACTTGGACATCTTGCTGGGTAGTGCTGACCACAAAAGCGCTTGACCATATAATCGATAGAAGGTCCATTTGCGCTCCAATATAGTATCACCAGTGCCACAGAGACTTGATTGTGCCTTCTGTCGATCCCGGCCTCGATGGTGGCGTGGTCGTTCTTGGTCTTGGCAGGAAGGCAGAGGCTCTGTTCCTCAGTCGGCGTCCCAGCGTTCCCTCACCCTCCTTATCCTCCCTTACCACTGCTTTTGTCTTGGCCTTGTCACCTGGCTTTCCCACACGAGTGCGAACGAAGCCTCGTACGCTTATTCGGTCCCGTTGTGTACAAAAGACATTTCCGAGCCGTTTCCTGCCAGGAGGGTCGGGGTGACTTCAGCTGTCTGCCTCTCCCTTTTGAGTCTCACATGAAGGTGCACTGTCGGTTCTGCAGTGATATCCTGGGTGGGTATAATAGAGACGTCATTCGGGGCCGTTCTTCCTCTTCCTTTTCTTTCTTTTGCAGCCACTGTCTTCGTTGTTCGGATCCCCCACGTAGGCGGCCGTCGTCGTAATTGGCAGGGGTGCGGTTGTAAAGCGTAAGTGTTGGTATCACAGGGGATCGCGATCGTGAAGCAGCAATAGTGTCAATTAGACTATTGGTTGCTTGGTGTAGATGATGATAAAAGGAAGAGGAAGAGGTTGCTGCCGTGGATATTCGTGATGGTGTAAGTAAACCTCCGAGGTGAATCACGTGAAGTGGGTCACGTGATTTCGGATCGGCTCCACCATCCACCGGTTGAATATCCCGACAGTAAGATTCTTGTATTGCTAAGTATTGTCATGTGCAACGCTGTGGCGTATTGTGGCAATCGTCTCTAGAATGCGCCCCAAAGGTTAGCTTTCCAAGTACCCTGGCAACTGGCAAGAACCCCGGCCAAGCACCCAAGACAGGCTCCAAGCAAGGAACTCACCTAAGGAATCCTGCCGACCCTCGATGGGGGCAAAGGACTCTGAGGGGGGATATGAAATTGAAGTTATACTTCCTTGACTCCTCTCACGGCGACCCCTCTCGCTTCTGTATGCAAAGCCGCAAACGCCGGAGTGAAGAAGGCTGAAGCGTCGTATGTCTTTCGTCGCGCCGTGCTGGAAGGAAAGTACCAATCCAGTGCCAACGCCTTGGCCTTGGCCCTCTCGACGCGGCTGACCGTCTTTGATATCGCCCCTGGCCAGTGTCAAGGTCTTCTCTGATGTCTCCGACTGGATGGATGAATTTGTCTTCCTGAGCTGCTCGCTCATGTTCATCTTCTCCAAGGTCTTTCAGAACCGCTGGTGGTCCTCCTCCTCGGGGGAGGATTGAGGACGGCCCGGGTCGGTGAAGAGCTGATGTCTCGTCCGGTGATGGGATGAGAGATGAGAGGGAGACTGTCCAGCCCCGGCTGCGGTCGCTCGAGTCCATTCCGAAGCAAAGTGATGAGCGATCGTTGGCGGTGGTGAGACGTATGTGTAGCTATATATTGCGCTGACTGAGCTACCGAGATCCCCAACCCTAACAACAGTGCCAATGAGGCAGCGGCCCTCGGGACGCTTGGGGTTCTCTTGGATGTGTGTGCTACTCTGGTACGAATAGGAAGCTCCGAGTATGGGGCCTCGGGCATCAGATGTCGCGCTGGAGAACTTTTCTGGGGAGGTAGGCGGTTGGATCGGGGTGGTCAAGCTTGGAAGAGAGGTATGTCGTAGTCAGATAGGTGATCGCGACTGACGACGAAGACCTGTCCGTTATCGACTGGTCGACAGGTCTTTGCATTGAACTAAGATATGGGATGATGAAGCCCCTGCGGTGCTTCTTGTACGAGTCGTCACAGAAGATGCTGGTCTTTTTCAGCCAATGGAACCGTAGCATAGCCCGGTACTGCTCCTCGTAGCTTCGCCCCTGCAGGAGGGTCGAACTTGTGTTCGATACCTGAAAAGCAAAGTTAGAATAAATATCGCAGGATGGGGTCTGCATAGGGAACAGTGACACATGCCTGTCTAAGCATTTCATTCACCCATCTCTCTTCCGAGATGGTGATGACCTTTGGATCCGACATGCTGATGAGCCTTCTTCGACTTGGTCAGGTCTTAATCGGCTCGAATGCGAAGTATCCTCTCGTCCACCAGTCGTGGGGTTGGGGCTCAAGGCATACAATGTTTGCGACTGTGTCAATCATGTCGACGTTGTCGCTGCTAATTGCGACGGCCTCCTATTCACGTCGAATGTTCAGTCAGTCTCTATGGGAGAGCTGGAGGAACACGGCTGCTTTGTCGGTGATGGCGACGAGGAAGCGAGCCCCCCCCCCCCCCTTTTTGGCCAAGGACCATGAAAAGAATATATACGCCCTCTTTGACGGGGATCGCACAACTCTTCAAGTAACTTCTCTACTTGACTGATAGGCATTATCCACAGTGCAGCCCACGAAGAGGCTAGGGCCAACCCTTCATCACCCTGGGCCTCCAGGGCAGCTTGCACCTGACGAATGAGTGTCATTGTTCTGTCGTGCTCGTCAAGATATTCTGACGAGCCTGTGCGAGGCGGAGTTGGCAGTGAGAGGATATTACTCCATGCCGCCCTAGGGAGAGAGAACCGATCCGACACGCCTAGGCTTTGCCTTGGCCGCTGAACTGGCCTTCTGACGTGCATCATATGAGCAACCGGTTCAGCAGGGAGTTCGGAAAGCTTCAGAAAACAGCAGCTTTCAAGAACGCATCCCCTACAGCCCAGCAAGCCCAAACGGAAAAGCTTCGTCAACAGAATGAGGACTACTAGTAAGCTCCTCGCGGGAAGAAACAGAACCAGGAGCCAGGCCAGTAGTAAGGTCGATCGAAATGCCCGGCAAGGCCGAAGTCCGGGTCGCTAGGCAAAGGTTGAGAGTAGAAGTATCTCGGGGGTCTGCGATGCCGGAGAGTGGTCTGATCACTATCATGGCGCCATTTATATGGCAAGCTTGTGGGTTTCGGTGGGCAACAATGGTGCGGTTGAGGGGTGTGGCTGACAGGGCAATATGCTGATCTTATATCGCGAAGCCAGAGCTCATCGCAGTATGGATACGTGGAGGTCGATAGATGATCTCCAAGGGGCTCTCTGCCTCAGACCCTGCCCTAGCTGAAAGTCGTTTCTAAGTAGCAATAGCGAGGGACAAGCTGGGATAGAGATGGAGGGACTCCAGTCCGTCGGAAACACGGCGAGGTAGGTCTGGGGCGCGAGTTGTCGGCTGCGTCTGCGTACTGGCTGGGAGAGCCACCTCCAAAAGCCGGATTCGATGCCGCAAACGGGTTCAAGTATGTTGATCAGTTGGTGGTCGCTCAAGGTGTTTCGAAGCTTCCAGTTTCCAGCTCCAGCAAGCCGAATCATGAGGGCCATTCGGTAAGACACTTTCATGATGTCAATGCTTGGCAGAGGTAGACCTTGAGGGTTTTTGATCTTCATCAAGAAAAGATGCCCGTCTGGGACCCGCTCACCACTTTCGAAGTGGCGAGCATCGAGCTCATCCATGGCATGGCACGGCTGTGTCAGCTTCGACCCGGTGTTTTTTTTTTTTGAAAGCACTGATGAAATCATCGTTGGCGTATCTAATAGTAGGTAGAACAGCGCCAGTACACCACTTGCTGGCATTGTCCAGAGTGCGGCCCAGAAGACGCTTGCCCCAAGGCATAGTACGTGTAGGGAGTCATTAGACCAGGCAGGCGATTGGTGAAGTCGTTCTAGTCGGGTGACTTCTTCTAGGAGGTGTCTGATGGCCGATCGTGTGTTGCGATCTGAGCCGTGTTCCTCCGTAGGGGGAATGCGGGGTTCTGGTGCGTTTATCTGCACTTTTAGTGTCAGAGATTGACCAATGTTGGGCAACAAGTGCCTGATGTCCTTGGCGATGCTGGATGCTACAAGGTATCGACGGATGGTGCTATCGGCCAGGACACTACAATCTTTGTCCTGGTCGTTCCAAGCGGATGTTGGATCTCTGATGAAGAGACCTTTGAGGTCGTGTTGTTTGGGTTCAAGTGCAACAGCGGCGTCAAGCTTATACTCCTCGAAGAATGACATTTGCAGCGCGATGGTGTGAGTCTTGTTATCGTGGAAGGCTATGCGAGGTGCGTTTGGGACGAGAGGTCTTTCCTGATTAGCTTGAATGGTCTCCCAACCCATTCTTCAGGAACTAGGCAGTTTACTCCAGCATTTCGTGCTGCGAGTGCAGTCAGGGCGTGCCGGGTTGCCGATGTAATACTACACCTGCCCTGGGATGTCTTCGTTAGACCACTCGTCATTGCGCCAGGGTGGTCGGCACTGTGCCATCCAAGGCACGTCGATCGTCACATCGGTGAACGCGAAGTTGTATCTCGAGCCCTTCGAAGCTGTGCCCGACGAGGTCTACTCGTTGCATGTAGTGTAGGTGGACCCGGGAAATCCGCAAGGCGTGTTCTCTGTCACCTTGAGAACCTTTGGCTCGCGGCTTTTGGTCTTGGGAGCTGGTTTAGGCTTCTTAACAGTGGCCCATCGTGCCTCCCAGTCGGCGATGGTGGCAAGTTTGGTGTCTGCCACTGTACAATGATACTTGGGGCTCGGATCGGGTTGGGCGAGCCGCTACTTGAGCTCATCCAAAGCTCGTTGGTTCGGATAGACTGTTTCGTCTGTACGAGGCACTTTCTTGGTCGGACTGCCTCGGCGTTACCTCCGCCGAGATCGAGGTCCGCCTCTATGCACCACGCCACGCCCGGACGTAGCTGGCCCGCCCCGGCGTCCTCCTCCTTCCTCACCTTGACCTCTAGGTCGGGTGGCTCGGTGAACTCGGGCTTCATAGTGGCGTTGAGACGAGGCGCGTCGACAAGGGTTGTTGACAAAGGGTAATGTGGTTCTTGTTGTCTGTTGTTGTTGGACAGAGATGCCTCTCGAGGGCGAAAGGCAAAGAAGCAAGACAACGTCTTCTTGTTTTGCTGTCTGCTCTTGGTGGCAGTTAGGGGAAGAAGGGTAATGTGTTTTTGATTGTTTGTTGTCTGCCATAGGAGGTGCCTCCAAGTGGTAAATGATGATGGAAGAAGATGTATTCTAAGGTTGTCAAACTTGATCCCATGGCGATCCATATCTGCCAGGCAGAGCAAGAAAGGGGTGTTGGATGCCATCACGTGAATGGTCAAGATGCCAAACGGGGTTGGCACGCCGATGGCCCCTTTTGATTCGAAATTGCGTTTCATTGAAGGACTGCGGAGGCACCGGAAACGCCTAAACATTGTGTCGGCGAGGGTGATTCGCGATTTCGTGATCGACGTCTTCCCCCAACAGACCGGAGGATGGTGATCTGCTGAAGCAGGCTGTTGGTGCAGGCTGCTCCTCCGGCCGGTACACGACGGGGCCAAGTAAATGGGTCGCCGAGCCTGTTGCATGGTCGAATCCATTCGAATGTTTTGGTCGCTTGAGCTTCGACAAGCACTAGTGCGATCTCTCTATTAATGGAATGCTCAATAGATCTCGTAACGTCTAATTCGTTGCGGCGGAAAAGAATATTCGGGTCAAGCTTCGCCAGGATGGAGCCGTTTAGGCCATCGAACGAGTCTTAGTCATGAACTCGTCTGCCTGCGCAGTAGTAGGACGAGTAGCTAACAAACGAGGTTGTCTCAATGGTGGTTATTTTCTAGGGTAACCGCCGATCAGTGTTGTTGTAGCCCGGGTCACCTGACCCGAAAGGTGACGATGGGATGAGGGAGGGAGGGAAAAGGGAGCGAGTGAGGAGACTGAGAACAAAAGGGATGCAGTCTCGGTGATAGGCACATAGTGGTGATTGTTGCTGTTCAGCCCCTCACTGGATCTGTGGGTTCGGGTATATATCGGCATTATGTGTGGCGTTGTATCTGTCCCGACAGGTGGATAGACAAGAGGCAGTATGTGAAACAACAAAAGAAGGTAGTCGGAAGAACTGCCCTTTATCGAGCTTTCTGGCCCTGGTATGGAGATTTCCAGCCCTGTTGATCTGTGGTGAGCTTTTGACCACGCTAGTGAGGTCTTTCCGTATCGGCAACCTTACGGTGCTCGACTTCGTCGTCCGGTGCTGGTAGGAAAGATGAAGATGAGAAGGGGAGGTAGACTCAGTAAAGAGCCCAGCCCCTGATACGAAGAGACGTCTAGGAATGACAATACATGGGGTGCTGTTACCTGACCCCTAGGGCCCATGGCCGGATAAGATGGACGGACTGATGAACGACGGGGAGGGGGGGAAGGATTGATGACGGCGAGGAGAATCCCCGACTAAATATCGTCAAACTAGAACAGAGAGAGAGAGAGAGAGAGAGCTGCCGAGGATGGAATAGGCAATTCCAAATGGTGGCGCGGGTTTTTGCTGCCGGCTCCCGCGCCGCCAGAGTCTGAGGCTGGATTGCCAGAAGCAGGCAACGACAAGACGGCAACAAGCGGCATGCGGCAAGCGGCAGACCGGCATCCCCGCAGTCACAATGGCGGCCAATCGAAAGCATTTTTTTGAGCCGCGCGGCCCCATCCGAGATGCATCGCGACAAAGACAAGCCGGGGCGTGGTGGGGGGGATTGCGGGTTGCCGTTGGCCCCAGCGGCGCCGGAAAGACATGCACCCTTCCGATATATCCCTCCCCCTTTCCGTATCTTACCTACCTGTCTTGGCCCGAGAGACGGCATGAGTCCAACAAATGCACCAGGGCGTTGTGTCAGACCAAACATCTTGTCCGAGACCACCAAGATCCCTGCCCTGGCCCTCCTCCTCCTTCCCCCATCCTGCTTGGGCACAAACACCATCGTCGTCCTTTTCCACAGCCAGCAATCGCAGTCCACCAAGGAGACAAAACCCTCGAAACCGTCAGTGCACATCCACCGACCTACCTATCTTGAAGATGGTGTAAGCAAGAGAGGACGTGGTGCAAGAAGAGAGAAGGACGGGAGATCAGACACACGCAAACAAACACACAAACACACACACACACATACACGGGCTGCCAGGTTCCGTGGGGCCGTCTCCCGTACGACAGGCGTCCCCCCGGGACCGTCCCTCTTCACCGCTAGGGCACCCTGTCCCCCCTCACCTCCGGCCTGCGGAACCGTGCCATCCTGCACGTCCCTGCGTCCACTATCCCGCCGTTGACGGCCCCGCGGAAACCGGCAGTAGTGTGCCAACCGCAGCATCCAATTTCCAGGACCAACCCGGGCCACAAAGTCGGCAATAGCTCAGTACCGCGGTTTGCCGCATGGTGCTTCCCTGGCAAAATGAAGCGTCGCTTGGACCCTTGTGTTCCAAAGGCGCGGCTGTTTGAAGGAACCAACGCCATGATTACCGGCCCTTGACGGGATGCAAGTCATGTTTCGTGCGCATTCCATGATGGACCGCGGTCCGGACAGAACCTTGATTTGGTTGCTGCTCAAAATAACTCTTATCTACCATGCCCTCTGATTGAGAGGAACGGGGTTCTGTGAGAAACGATGCTCTTGTCTAGAACCCCTCGTACAACACCTGACGTAAAAAAGAAACAAGAAAGAAAAAGGGTGGGCGGGAACCAGACACAAGCCCAACCGGCGGACAGCCAAATAGGCCATCCTTTCCAAAGCAGCAAATCAATAAACTCCGCCACGCTCAAACTGTCCCGAGCGGCGCCGTCCAGCCAGGATGGCGAATAACCAAATATCGGCGACGACCATGCCTCACTCGCCGCTTGGGACGGAGCAGAGTCAGCCCGCATGGCATTACCCCCCCTCCCATTTGCGTCCCGTATCGCACACGCCCAAAACGCCCACGCGGCCGAGTTTGCTCTCGCACCGCGGAAACAAAAAATTCACCAACCCAAGGGGGTATCTCCACTGCTCATCACCCTCACTGCAACGACAAACGTCCCCTGCGCATCGACTTGCTTTGCACAGCAGCATTGGTGCCTCTTAATCAATCTCCGAATCCGGCATCGCCGGGACATCGGGGGATTCGTATTCGTCCCACGTCCTCTCAATGACGTCCCTGTCATGTTTGGTCAGCGACATTGATGCTTTGTAGGAGGAGGGGGTTGCTCACCGTTCAATCTTCTCCAACTGAATACCCTTCTTGCTGCAAAAGACCAAAAAGCGCCGCTTGGTACGTTCTCGCTTAAACTCGACCAAGAGGTTTCCTCGCGGCTCGCCGTCAGGCGAGATCACGACGCCCTGTTTGCACACCACAACCACCTTGAGCGTCCCAGTGGCCCAACGCATCTCCTGCACATGGCCCAACTCCAGATGGAAGTTGACGGGCTTCGCGTATATGCCCCAGGTGAACGTATCACCTTCGGCGAGTACTTGATGCTCAAAGATCTGTTCGCCATCGTCCGGAATCCAGTGCCAATACTGCGTCACACCGGTGCTAACGGTGTTCAGCCGCGACTTGATCCGGCTCAGCGCCCAGTCGTGCTTGCCAATGTGATCGCCGCTGTAATCGTCGGTATCAGTGAAGCCGTCGTATACGAGATCCGGGTCTTTGGCCTTTTTAGGGAACTGTGCCATCTTGAACTTCTTGAAGGGCCTAGCAAACTCGGGCGTCGGCGACGCGCTCCGCTGTGGCTCGTCTTGAAGAACTGGGGCTTGTGAAGGCAATGACGGTTGGGGCTGGAGCTGGGACTGGAACTGGGGCTGTAACTGGGGCTGGAGCTGGGGCTGGTGCGTCGGCGTTGGCGCAAGGGGACGCTGCGAGACGCCGGGGAACTCCTCGTTGATGAAAAGTTTACGCTTCTTCGTACTCGGGGTACCCCTACCTGAACCGGGGGAGTCTCGCGGGGTCATCTTCATGCCCGATGGCCGACCGATGCTCTTCTTGCCGTTGGCGAGTCTCAGGGCGACGTATTTCGAGTCGTGGTAGAAGTCGTGAATCGTCTTGGCGAGGTTGAAGTTGGGGCCTTCGGCAACAATAAGCTCCTGCAAACGCTGCCGCAACCATTCCAGGGGCGTGATGTCAAGTGTCTTGAAGCCTTCCAGGGTCCGCAGAGTGTCGGCCAACCGGAAAATGGTGTCGTACGAAACCAGGCGGCTCATCATGTACTTCTTCCCCACCAGCTGGTAAGGGCAAAAGTCGGCGTCTTCCAGAAACTTCAGAATGGTCTCTCCGCGATTCACCTGCCGGCCGAGCTGGAACTTCATGCTGTTCTGCCCCTTCTCGAGGGCGGCCTGCAGCTTGTCTCGCCATGTCTGCAGAGTCGGTTCAATCATCGGCGCGATCTCGGGCCAGGATGGATCCCAGTAAGGGTGGTTATGGTCAACCTTCTCGACCGGAACACCTTCCATGCATTCAGGGTGTGTAAAAACCTTCCCATCGTGCTTGAGGGTGAGAGTTGCCTTGGTGATTGGGGTCAGGTCCTCTTCTGTTTCGTCGGTGGCCGTTGAGCCCTCGGCGACGCTCTTATCCCGTGAGTTTGGCCGACTAAGGGATAAGGGAGTTGTCGTGCCGTTGAAAAAGCTGCCGTCACCGAGGCGGTCATGCTGGGTCTCTTGCGCAGTCGCATTGAAGGCCTTGAACTTTGTGATGGTTGGTGTTTGCTCTGCGGCCGGTGCTTCGCAGCAATTCGATCTCAGCCATACACAGTTCCCGCATGCCTGTAACTCGGTAGTATCGAGACTGATGCATTGTGCAAAGGGACCTTGGCCCCTGGCACACTGACTGCACTGCTGGGCTTGCTTGCGGACGAGACCAGTCGCCTGGATAACGGCTCCCATCCACTTCTCCTCTGCCTCTCCAAGCTGCTGCAGGTCATCATGCTTGAAAACGACGCCGTCGCGAAGATGGACCGGTCTTTTCTGGGGCAGTCCAGACAGGTATATGACGGACTTGTTGCTGGATGCAAGTCGATTCACGGGCCCAACTGGGCGGCCCAGCGCATCAACAATTACGGTGAGCGGCGGCTGGTCAGCTTTGGCTGGAGTTGGTATCGACGGATAAAGAGCGTTACGATGGTCCCCGTTAATGATCGCGGTGTTGGGCGTGGCGTTGGGTGCGGCGTTGTGCAGTCCGTTGACCGTCTTGTTGGCCTGCGCAGGGTCGGCGGGCGCGATATTGCGACGCGGCGAGGGTGCAGCAAGGGCGGCAACGGCAATCCTAGCACTCTCTTCGTTCTCCTTGCGGCGCTCCTCTGCGAACCAGGCGGCCACAGCCCTGTGATGGTTCTCTCGTTGGCGCAACAGGTCCTTCCTGGCCTCCTGGAAGTGGTTGGTGATGTCTTCCAAGCTTTTGTGCTCTCGGGTAATTGCGCGGTGGACCTCGAGCGCACGCCTCTCGAGATCCTGCTTCTGGAGGTTCAAGTCCGTTAGGCGGCTCATGTAGTACTTGGTGTTGGCCATGAACTCGCCCTCCAGTCTCTCGTCGTCTTCCTTTTGCAACAGTTGAATGGATTGCCAGTAGCTTTCCTCATCCTGGGCGGTCGGCCTCCTGCCGTCACCAGGGTCGAGATGCATAGCGGCGGGTAACCGATAAGGCGCTAGCTAGACAGTGCAAGGGTCTACAAATGTAGGTGAATGAGTCGGGCGATTCCAGGGAATGCGGTTCATATAAATTTAGAGATGCCTCGTAGCCGAGGAGAACCGGTCGAACAAACGATTGACCTCTACTCCAGCACGATGGTGCGACCGATCCAGAAAAAGCTGCGATTTCGCATTGAAGTTGACGGGAGGACTAGGGTGGAAACGAAGTCCGGCTTACGCGTCGGGGGTTCGCGCAGGGGGTTTTTGGATAAGTCAGAGATGCCGTGTGCGTCGATCAATCCGCTGCAACTCTCGAGTGTTTATGCCGGTCCTTTGCCTTGCCGGGTATGACAACAGCTCCAGGGTGTCGGAACAGGTAGAGTGAAGTAATGGGGAGGTGACCGACTGAGGTGAGGTGACGGTGGATGAGATGAGAGTAAGGTGAAGAGGGAAGAGGAGGGAAAGATGATGGTCAAGATAGGAAAACCCGAGTCCGACGGGGTGTGTGTGTGTGTGTGTGTGTGTGTATGTATGAGTGAGGATAAGTCGAGTGAGACGCCAGACAGCGTGGGTTTTAGGACAGCGCTGCTTAGTGTGCTAGAAGAGGTATTGTGTAAGAAAGGGGGGAAAAGAAAGAGAAAAAAATTGCCTAATAGTAGCGCGGATGGTGGTGGTGGTGGGGAGGAAGGAAACAGCCAAGACTACCTGCCTAGGTAATCTACTGTGTACCTAAGCGGTCGGTCGGGTTGGATGTCGTTCTTTTGCTAGTTGAGTGACCTCTCGAGCTATAGGTGAATTGAATGCGGTAGGATATAGCTGTAGCAGCTACACTACGTCGGGGGAGTGGGGGCCGAAAGCTGGTGAATGAGGGCAGGGGGTTTGGGTGTGTGGACAGAAAGAAACTTGGACGAGTGGCCGGATATTGACGAGAAACAAGGTTGACTGCGTTGAAAAAGCACACGCCGTTGAGTCGACGTGGATGTGTTGCTGATGGCTCTTGGCGTTATGGACTAGACCGGACTATGTGGGCCGCACGGTAATCAGAGTCGAATGACCAACAAGTGCGATTTGCGGATGCAGATGCGGCTGCAGGTTGGATGCAACAGAGATAGTATCGCGTGTTGGCACGTGATCTGGCGCAAGAAAACCGGCCCTATCTTCTGTTTGGCTTCTCTCTCTCTCTCTCGCTCCCTCTGTCTTTCTGCCCGCGCGTCTCGTCTCTTCGCCTGATGCCAAGCAAATCGAACGAAGAGAAGGGAGAAGAATAAGGGGGGGGCGGGAATGAAGATGAGGTTCAAAAAGGCCGGATATCGACCGATTGATGAGGGACGTCAGGCGTGTCCGTCCGAGAGACAAGGAAGCACTAATAGGTAAAAGAAGACTGGATGACTGAGTGGGGTACGAGGGTGGCCTTGACTAGGTACCTAAGGTAGGAGGGTTTGTTTGGGCAAGAGCTTGTGTCTAATTAAGAACATTAAGAACAAAAGACTATTTCGAGCTCCAGGCCGATGCAAGGCAAAAGGCAAGCAAAAGGTACATGGTACAATACATACAATAGGTAAAATGAGTAAGAGCAGGAATGCGGGAAGGAAGGCGCATCAAGTACCTAGATACCTCGGTACATAAGGGAAATGCTATGTACCTATGCTACCTACAGTACCTACCTATGCCAACCTAGGTGTGTAAATACACTTTTGGTATGTACTCCGTACTCTGGCAGGGCAGGGCAGGAGAGGAGGGAGAAAGGAAGGAGGGCCCAGAACCACGGAACCATGACACCAATAACGACACATATTTACCTCACTCGCCTCACCTCGTATGCAGTGTACACGGCGAAGTGAATAAGTTGTCAAACGAGAAGGAGTCATCTTGATGCTCGTCCGATACATTCTGCCGCACTTGCGCCAAAGCTAGACAACAGATAGTTGCTACGTATAGACACAGATTAGCATAGCCGCATAACCACATAACTTAGAAGGGGGCAGGGGTGTGTGTTTTCATTCGAAGCCACCCTTGTTCTACTTGGAGGGGGCGGCGCTGCCCATACCCTGTGGGATAGTATCAATAGTTGAGGCAGCCTAGAGAGATAGGCGTGCATATTCTATGCAGCTACGGATATGCAACTTGGGTTTCCTTGACTTGAATTGCCTGAACCTACGTGTGCGGTGTGCCTAGGTACACTGGCTACTCTTTTTTGTCTTTTTGTCACGCCCCCCCCCCAATTTGTTTCTCGCTCTCGCATTCTGCCTATACAGCCAAACGTGAGTAATCAACCCATGAGGCATTCGGCCTGCCTACGTTCCTACCTTTCTTTGGGTTTCGACTATGGTTCAGAGTATCATTTTGTGCCCGTGCGTGCGACCTTCAGAAAGGGGTCGTCTTGGAGGATACGTACCTCAGTTTCTATTTACCTTTGGATCACGTACCGTAGCAGGTAGATATTCGTAGGTCCGGAGAAGCTAGCTCGAGCCCGAGTTAAACCCCGGCTAGTTTCTAAGATTGGCTAACCTCCCTGACCAGATAAATATCGAGTGAAACGAATGGAGGTCCGCATTGCGGTTGAATGTCGACAGGCCACGTGATTGGACGCAAGTGCGCGAAATGCTCCTAGGCCTCCTCACTAGCGCAACCCGATAACAGCCTTCAGCGCATCCGATAACATCCCCTGACCTGGGTCCCCTTCCCACCCTCACTCCTATGCTCTGTCATTGCTGCTTTTCCGACCAAGAAGATGCTGTCCGACTTTCCCATCCCTTCCAATGGGCAATCGATACTCTAGCATTTGTTATTCCTGACACAGGAGAGAGAGAGAGAGAGAGAGAGAGAGAGAGAGAGTGTGTGTGTGTGTGTGTAGAGGTATACGATGTATGTCCGTTTCCCAATTCCTAACCCCGCTCCTCCCCCTATCTCCCCTATCCCCGTTATCCCCCCCCCCCCTAAACATATCACAATAACATCCTCAAACCCAAACTTTGATCAAGTGTGTCATCATGAGAGATATATGAAGAAAGAAGAAAAGAATCATGGATGCATGTAGTGGGTGCACTACGTACAGGTAGATAGTATTGGCATAGCATGATTACTACAAGGTGCAACACAGATCGTGAGAACCTTTTTCCCCGCCCCGTCCCCCCCCTCGACATCCCCGCACGGCTCAGGCATTACATTGCATTGCGGATGACTCTATAACACATCTGTACAATGGTAGATATCACCACCACTTTGTTCCCCCCACCCATCCACCAAGGTTTATCGTACGAGTTGCCAACTCGGCCTAGAGGTAATCTACTATGTCCCGCTAACGACACAAGACATATAATAAATACGTGTTTTGCCGTCGCCGAGTTCCCAACAGTTTACCCTAGGGCAAACAGTTATACCCTTTCTTCACAGCCTCCCACACTTCCGGCAATGCGGCATTGCCGGGACCTTGACAGCACTTTTTACTTTGCTTTATGCTACAAAACCTAACCGATCGCCTCACTCACGACAACACTGGTGATTAGAGGATATTATTACGGTTATACATTTCTGATAATTATATATTTGGCTTCTTGCCACATTACTATAACTTGACTCGCGGAGGTATAACTTCCGTAAGCTCTGAAGCTTATATACTGTCATCTATATCTGTGCACGGTACGGATACTACACAGCAGCCCCACGTCGTGACGACCTTATGAGTGAATCTTGATGCAAATGCACCCGGCTTAATCCTGACTGCATCACACCGGCATCCCTTCCCTGTCTTGGGATTTCAGCCTCGTCGGCGTATCAAGTTGCTTTAGGTATTGCGTCATAATCGAATTACCTATACACTGCCACGAGATACTTATACGGGTAAAAGTTATTATCCTCCTCCTCCTCCTCTCACATTCCGCCCACAACCAGCCCCTCTTCAGCTACCGACCGAGAATGAAACCTTAAACCAGGCGTGGCTCGGGATGAAGTGTATGCAGCCAGCCAGATGTGTAAAGACAGTTCGCCCATTCCCAAAACGCCAATCCCAATTCAATGATGCCTGTTTGTCGTCATCCTAGACGCAACCAACCCAGATGCAAGCCCTATACTGTGATCCGGTAAGACCGGACGCCTCTCATGAAAACCCGCTATCGAAGCAAACCACCTGCTCGGCGTGTAAAACGCGCACCGCTGTAAGCGAATATCCCTGACGCATCAGTAACGAGCAGAGTAACGCGCCGGGGCCGGCGATGGGGAGTACGAGTGGTCGTAGCCGCCAGCGTGACCGTAAGGGTCCTCGGCGTACATGGCCGTATGGCGGTCTTCCTCAGGCAACAGCTCCTTGACCTCCCAATTGTTCATCCTAGTACCAACAGAGAACTCGAGGTCCTCGCGAGTAATGGAATCCCAGTACTACACGGCAATGTCAGCGATGGCAACCAACCCGAACAGGCGAGACCACATACCTTGTACACCATCATGACGCCCAAGAGGTTGCAGATGGTGGCGAAGAAGAGGCCGTCAAGGTAGTGGCTGACGGCGGTGCAAATCTGGGTGCTGGCAGCATACAGAATGACCTGTCCGACAATGAAGAAGAAGAGACCAAAGGCGATGTCGCCCAGGGGCCAGCGGTCCTGCAGAGTCCTAACGACGAGAAGGATCTGCAGAGCGACATAGATGAAAAGCTCGATGGCGTTCAGCAAGTACAGGACGACGAAGAGGCCGACCGTGTTGGTAGGTCCCAGGCCGACCCACGACTTGAAAGTGGCCAGCGAAACCAGGAAGCATATGGCAAAGGCGGCCAAGGAGCAGACGCGCAGCAGCCAGACGGAGAGCAGAGTGCCGTCCTCGTACAGCTGGAACCCGACGAAGCCGTTGATTAGTAAGCAAGTGACCAAAGCCGATGTCAAGCCATTCTGCACGGAGACAAAGTAGGGATAGGGATCGGAACCCGGAGGGACGACACCGGCGTCGACGCAAAGGGAGATGAAGCTGAGAAGCATGTAGATGTAGAAGAACATGAGGATTTCCTTGCGGCCTGCGGATGTGTGTCAGTCTGTTTCTCTTGGGGGGGGGTGACATAGCGGCAGCGGGTCGGCGAGGCATCATACCAACAGCAGTGAACTTGCCGCGAATATGCAAGATCATGACGACGGTCATGAGGAGGGCAACGATATGCATGGCGCTAGCAGCACCCTCGAAGATGATGGTGTTTGCCAGCTCGATGTTACGCGCATAGCAGTCCGGCTCGATACCGACACCGCTGGTTACCTCGGTGGCAGGTCCGATGGATGCGCACAGTGGCAGTGGCACCATGTGGCAGATGTTGGTGAAGTCACCGAAGCCTGACATGATGGGCTACCGGCCGGCGTACGGCAGTGAGGCGGTCGACGGGGTCGGTTCTATCAGGTCGAATGTTCGACCGTATGCGGCGACGAGGTAAAGGCGATGAAAAAGGGTTCTATCGCGCTTCCCGGGCGGGGGGGGGGGGGGGATATGCTCGGCAAACGAGGTAACGAGTGAGCAGTACGAGCAAGAGGCCGCGTCGACGTGATGTGAGAGCGAAAGGGAATACTGGCGGGGTCCGAGTGGTGGTCGTCGTGAAGGGCACGATGGTGCGGGTAGAGGAGGAATGTATGTTTCGATGTGCGGCAAGGGAGGGTCGGGGGTAGCCGGGCGGGTATCGTGAAGTCGGTGTCTTCGGAGGCCCGGAGAGGTGATGCGGAATGGCGGCGGCGACAAAGGTCAAGGTCAAAAGCGATGACAATTACGGGGTCAAGAGACAGCAACGGGCAACGACGACGACGACGATGACGATGGTTATGGGAGCGAAGGTGGTTCAGGAACGAATGACTGGGCAACACACCGTTAGGACTCGGTGGTTGGTTTGGAAGCCTTGAGGGGTGAAGAGTGTTTGCGGGAGGCTGGATGGAGCGTTGCTGTCCGACGAGCAGAGAAGCTGACGGGGGCCCGGCAAGTGTTGCTGGGGAAAAAGGGAGGAAGGAGCCCACCCCACCCAATCAATGTCACTGCCACTCCACTGCAAGATGGAATGCGAGCGAGATGCTCCTTCCTGGTACCGGAACTGGAGGAAGTGGGGCGCGATTGCAAATCTCTGCAGTTGGTGCCGTGGCTCGTGGCTGGTGGCTTGAACGGTCTCCAATCAAAAGAGCAGAATGTTTTCCCCTGAGCAGCTTCTGACTGGTTGACTCGTGTTTTCTTCCCAGAGAGCCATCGGCACATTAACCAATTTAGCATCAATAGCGTGTGCGTGCTCGTAATGCACATTCGTACCTGTACCTACCTAATACGGAGCACCCCTTGTTGCCAGCGGGGCTTCAACAGGATCGCATTCTTCGCCGAGAAGCGCCAGCCTTTTGATTATATTTTTGTTTCTTCTCCTCTGTCCAGGACGCTTACGTAACAACTATCGCTTATCCCAGGCACCTGCCTACTCGTACACGTGTATCCGTACTTGTGGACAGTCGGTACTTATTTACCTAGGTACCTAGCAAGGTAGGGAGGCATCATTACCAGCCATCGTTCCATCGATTGGCGGCATGGCATGCATCAAATCCGACGAGCGAAAGAAACAAGGCGGAAAATCAATCGTCTCGAGGCTGCGTTGCGCCGTGCCCGTTACCCCTCCGAAACCATGCAAAACAAGCCTTGCAGAGAACAGCAAACTCCCGCTGTCAGTGAGTGACGTCGGATCGCACACTGTCTTTCTCTCTGCTTTGCCGCGTCGGCCAGTCAACCCGTCGCATCTTATGGCTTTTCCCGTCCCATCTCGCCCAAACTCTCTCTTCTCCGACGAATGACACGCCTGCACCACCCTCAACACTTCCTTCTCCTGGAACAAACGGCCAACTTCCGTGTCGGCCGCCCCAATCTTGGTCATAATAGAAGAGGGCGCCGCCTCTCGCGAAACTTGGTCATCTCCGTGTTTCTCCCGGCTCCCTTCACCACATTTGCGATTCCAGTTTGTCACTACGCCGAAACCGGCGTCTCAGCCTGGTTCGTTGAAACGGTACCCAACACCAAACAGACATTATCCGGACCTGTGACGCGAGTCTTGGCATCCAAACTGCCGTCCCGACCGCACAATCACCCATTTGCTATGCAAGTAGCTATGACTGCCTACGGGTCCACGCTACTTCTGATCTGAGCATCACGGATGCTATTGCCACCGCCGACCACTCATTGAACCTCACCAGGCTTATTTACTGCTCTGCTAACATGATGTGCTAGGCATTCCACAAGGTTTTCGTCCTATCAGTCCCGAGTGGGGATGAAGCTCTACATCTATAATCGTACGTACACACACTGACATCGGGTGACGTCCCGCCTTCCTTTCCGGATATCGGTGAATAGCGCCATGTCATGTTTTCCGATATTTGCTACACGTACAGTTGCAAACGGAAACGGCTGGCCCGCACTTCGGGCCGGCTACACAATCTCTCCCCCGCCAGGTCCTCGTCTCAAGGCGAAACACCCCTTTACCACCCCACATCACGGGCCGGCTCCGTCGACCGAATCCAAGACCACGAGCCTCAGGATGGGCACATGGCCGGCAACGTCGAAAGTCTTCACCCACGGCAGGGCCCTCAGCACCCGCAAGTGAACCGGGTGGATGACTTCCTGGCTCCTCGACTCCTTCCCCGCCCAGCGCGCCTCCTCCAGGTCGACCGCGCGCAGCGGCTGGTGCCTCAGGAACCTCATAAGCTTCTGATGCGTCCAGATGGCGAAGTCGGCCTCCTTGACGATCCTGACCGTGGTCGAGCTCTTGTCCATCCGCCCCCTCACTCCTTCCGCCTCGAAACAGTCCCAGTCCGTGGCGCCGAGGACGTCCAGCGCGGTCAGCCCGTCCCGAAGCACGTTCCGTTGCGAGCCCATGCTCCACGGCGCCAGCCTCCACCCCAGCATGCCGAGTAGGTTGGACTGGATGAAGTTTTCGCACCTCTGCCGGGTCGCCCGGCTCGCGGACCGGCCGACGGACTGCCGGAAGGCCTTCTCCATACATTGCGCGGCGTTGAGCGTGCGGTGGATGCGGTGCCACTCCGCCAGACCCAGGAGCTTGACGGCCTTGCCGTACGCCACGGGCATCGTCTCCTCCCTGCCGCCTCCCTGGTACTGCCGCTTCATCACCTCGACGAATCGGGCGGCGAATTCGACGAGCTCGCTCAGGGCCCCCACGGCCTTTTTCAGGTCGTCCGCGACCTCCCTCTCTGTCGGCCACGTCGCGCTACCGTCCGACTCCACCCTGTGCCACAGCATGCTGGCCATGCAGCCCGCGACCTTGTCGGCGGCGTACTGGCAGTCCGTCCTGAGCCTCGCGACGACACGCTTCTCGGCCATGGCACCGTGCCCAACGAAGCATCGACGGAACGGACTGGATGGATGAAAGTTGATGGTCAGGGTCCCGCAGTGGAAGGTGAAGCCCTTGCGTCGGTCCTTTCTTTTAACGCTCGACTGCACCCCACTGTCCTCGCTCAGGAAGCCGTTCTTTGTCACGAAGCCAATGTCCCCGCTGGCCAAGACCATCCAGAACTTGTCGCCGGCCGTGGGGCCCGCCGGGAGGAAGAAGGTGGAGTTCTCGACCTCGAAAGTCGAGCGGGGCGCGTCGATGGATTTCCAGACGGACGTCATAGTCACGCCGGTCTGCTCCTGCTCGACAGCCGGCGCGCAAGCCATGCTATTCGGGGGGTGACTGGTGTCTTTTAGTTTACTGTGTGAGTATGCGTGTGCGAGTGAATCATTTGCCTAAAGGGCCGAAGTGATGGTTTATGTCGAAAAGAAGTGTTCCATTCGTCCCCGGCAGCCGGCGGCCCTCCCTCGTTATCCGTTAGCTGCAGGGCCCATCTCCGATGCTCTCGCGGGAACCCCCCCCCCCCCTTGGCCAAGGTTCACGGCGTCGACGGACCTGAAGACGCTCGAACCGAGTTTTCCACGACGCGACAGACCACTGGGCTTGGTCTACCTATTTTCGATCCAACTATACGCACGCACTAGGTTAAGCAAGCCTTTGGTAGCAGAGATCTTACCTGGCCGGTTCGCGAAAAAGAAAAAAAAAAAGAAATAGGCGGACAACGAGAGCCAAACAGCGGCGCCGACCAGCAAACTTCAAGGCCACGGCGTCCCTCTCCATCACGAGTCGATTTGGCGGCTCCTGTTCCATTAGAGTCACTACCGCTGCACTCCAAGTGGCCGACTTCGACATTTCCCCTTCAAAGCCAAACTTACATGGCAATAGGGGGCATAGGCATCCGCTTACCGTTCGCTGCAGCAGATCCGAACCCACCGTCAGGTCACATCACGACTCCGTGGCATCTCGACTAGATTACCATCGTAGAAGTATACTCCGTTCGGGTGTTTACTGTTCATTTTTTTTTTGTTCTGCATCCCACAACGCTCTCCAACGTCTGTCTAACTGAACTGAACAGTGTCCTGTGCAACTTCTTTTGGCGCTTCGTTTCCATAACTCTCTACCCCACCCCATCTTTTTCGCGGAATTCTTGCCCCTTTCATACGGCACGAACGTCCTTTTTTCTCCTCGCCTGTCCCATGGCTTCCAATCAAACTCAATTGGGACGGGTAGACACCCTCTCCAACCTCTCTGGCCATCGTTTCCGGATCTAATGGGCGGCTACGATCGGTCGCCGCACAGTGCTATGTATGAATTTGAACCCCTAACACTGTGTTCCTGCCGTCACCAAGCGTCACCAAAAGCGCAATGTCACCGTCCGTCTCTGATTGGCCACCCTCGCAGAACTCAATTTCCAAGACTTCATATGAACGTTGCCAAGCTGCACACATACAACCCGTCATTTCCCATCGACTTCACCCAAAACACACGCAAGCGTACAAAAGACCCTTTGCTTTGCTGTTTTACCATTTGAATTCAGATTTGTCTGATTTGTTTGGTATTTCAACATCAGGCTGCTCGTCATTGCTGACGTTTTGCTTCTATCTACTCTTGAGAATCCTTCTCGTTGAGCCCCAGGGGTATGAGCTGTTTCCACTTCGAAACCTGAAAGTTCCACGAGCCTGGGCGGCCTTCATTCATTCTCCCTTCCGACCCTTGCTCCATGACACCAAAAGCCAAAGGTAAAAATGTCAACTCCGCCTGATGCAATTTTAACTGTTGATCCATGAGAGTCGTTTCTTCCCTCGCCCAAAACCCCGCAAGTTGACGAGTATACATCCTGGTATTTGCCCAGGTCAGTCGTGAGTAAACTAATGGCCCCTCATCCTGCGCCATAAATAATGCAATGCTAAACTGAAAAGAACAAGAGGCCTGAACGAAAATCTGTCTCGCTCGAGGCTGATGAGCCGAGGCAGTGCGGTGGTGGCAGAAGCACAAGTCTCCCAAACTTCTAGTTCGGGTATGGCCCCTGCGGCAGACCGTGTGGAATATGGGGCATTTGCGCGCTCATCCGATAGGGCGCGTGCATAAACTCGGGGACAACGCCGGTTCGCAGATCGTTCCGTCGTCCCAGAGGCTGGTAGTGCATCTGCGTTGTTGGCAGATGATATTCGTTTAGAGACGCCGACGGTGGGGGGTAAAGAAGCGTGTTGACGTGCCGAATAGGCTTGTACGGACTGGGCCGCTGCTGAAGGTATACGCTTGGAGAGTGCGAAATGGGCGTATGTGCAATCGGAGTATGCATAACCGACGTAGGAAACTGCTCGCCTAGCGGCGACGAGGCGTACACCGACAGACTTCCGGGGCTGTGTCTCTTGGTTGGCGTGCCGTATCCCATAACGCTGTGCATCGAGACGTTCGACGGTGTAAGCGATGTCTGGGGCATCGAAGTTGTAGTTGGCATGGGCAACTGGGGCATCGAGACTGTTGTGGCAGGAGGGTAAACAGTCGTCATGGCACGGACACCATTGCTCAAAGGCGGCAGTGAGACATGTTGCTGCGTGGGGTAGGCGGTCGTGGCAGGATACATCTGGGCCTGTGCGGGAGCCGGGTTGGTGTTCAGCGATAGGCTAGGAACAGGAAGGCGCATGGGTTGTTCGCTGACCACTTGCGGTCGGGTGACTGGAGGCATCGTGTTGGGCTGTCTGCTAAGTCGCTTCGCGGGGGGCTCCACAACATCGTCCTCCGGGCTTCTCTTACGGGTAATCATACCCGCAACGTGCTTACCAGAAAGCGGGGATATCGGGGCGTTATGGTAGGTCGAAGGCCATGTTTGGGTTGTGTTCGGGATGGCCGTGTTCGGTGAGAATACGTTCGCGGCGGAAGGCGTTGAAGGCGGGAACGAGGCGGCGGGCTGGATTGTAGCAGTGGGCGAGGACACTGGTGAAGTGAATGACTTGCTCAGTGGCGAGGTCGGTTGCTTCTGGGCCCTCTCGTAGTACTCTGAGAAACAGGACAGCTTTACGAGCCACTCCTCCCACTCCTCCTTTGTTGCCAGCAGGCTGTATCGCATGTTGCTGAGGAACTCGACCTCCATGACGTGGATTTCCTGCACGGTGATGCCAGACACTTCCGCCCAGGTCTTGTTGGTGTACGTGTTGTCATCCAAAACTGCACGCTTGTCAGCTCATCGTCTCCCTTCTCCTTGCCACCTTGACTTACACTTATTGCCCAGCATCAGGGCAACCGTCAAAAGACGATACTCGCTGCCCGAACGGCCCTTGACCGAAGGGTTCGTTGTCTTTAGACGGTACACGAATAGCAGGGCGAGCAGGATGACGTTTTGCGTTACTTGTGTTGTTGACAGGACGCTGTAGGCCCACTTCTTGAATTGAGAAAACGGAGTCGCATATTCGGTCAGGCGGGGCAACGTAGCCGTTGGTGGTCGGGATCGGATGTTCTCGGCCGCTCGCAACGTCTCTATTGACTCGAACCAGAAGAGGCATGTAATCTTCACCATCGTTAGCCAACAATCCTGAGATGGACGGACGGATCGTCATCCTACCTGAGCCGCAAAGTCTGCCAAGTTGCCGCCCTTAGGGTTGATGCAGCTCGGTATGGACAAGCTATGCAGAACGAGAGCTGAAGAGCCCTTTCGCGAGACAGAACCATCCGACTTGCCGATGGCGCCCGACGTCGGTGTTGACGGGCGAGTCGAGTGACGGGAGGTTGTAGAGTACTGGCTGGTACCGGAAGCAGGATTCGTCACCGGCTGTTGGGGCTGGGAGTATGAGTTGGTCGGTTGGGTGTAGCGAGGATATTGAGGGGCAGCCCTCGCGGCTTCGGCCATGACCGCCTTGGGACCTCGAGCTTGGGCAACGGCCGAGGGGTACGAGGGGAGAACATGACTATCGTAGGCAACGAGGTGAGGGGCATGGTAGGTAGCACTCATGGCTTCGGTTGGCGGCGTGTGAAGCCCGCCCTGGTAGAGAGCAGCTCTGGCTCCTTGATCGAACCTAGACTGCTTCTGGCCGTGAGCGGCTTGGTGTAAAGTGTGTTGGGAGGAGCTCTGTCTGCAAGTTGCTGGGAGCGCAGGAGACAGAGGGAGGTTGTAGTAGGGTAGAGGTGCTGCAGTCGAACACATCGGAACGGGGTGGTTTCGGTGAACGGCTCGTGGAGGGAGCTCGAGTCGGTCGGTAGTGGGCGACGGAGAGGTGGAAGTTGAATTGAGCTGCGGATGAAAGGAAGACGGGTCGAAGGGTGTAGGTGGGTGAAGGGAGGTCCAGGCCGCGGGCTGCTACATTTGGGGTTGAAGTAGGCAGAGGAGGGCTTAGGAGGACACTGCAGTCAAAGGAGATTTCCGGTGAAAGCTGTGCAGGAGGCAGAAAATAGTGACAGTTTCAGTCAAGCACAACGTCAAGCTGTGTTGTCTGTATAACCTCTCGTCGGGTGATTTCCCCTTTCTCGTTATCGTGGCGGCAAGTCGAGGGTCTTCTTGGGTGCGGTTGGTGGTGGTGAAGCTAGATTTATCGACGTCCTCTCATTGACTGGCCGGCCATGGCAGTAGGATGAAATTGCGAATAGCTCAGCCCAAACTGTGAGAGTGAATCGAGCTTTCGGAGAAAGGTGCGGGTGGCTAAGGTAGTAGTTGTCAATGGTGCAGGAGCAACCTTTGTGAGTGGGATATCGAGTTGAGCCCAGGTGAGTTCGGGAGCGGATTCGTCGGTTGGGTCCAGTCAGGTAGCTCGGAGGGGTGAATGGGGGGTTTATGGGTCGGTGGTGGTGTGGTTAGAGCAGGAACTCGGCGGAAGGCAGGTATAATAAGATGGAGAGAAGGGGACTGGTAAACCACCGAGGAGTGCTTCAGATCGTCCGTGTAAATGAAGGGCTCGTGTGCGAGTGAGTCCAATGGAGCGCTGTGATTCGGTGGGAGGCAAGAAAGGGTGCAGGGAGGATGTTGTGGTGTAATTGTATTGTAAGAGCGGGTTTGGTATTGTCGGAACAGGAACCGGAGCAACCATAACAAAAAAAGAAGAAGGCAAGCAGCAGCAGCAGCAGCAGCCGTGGAAGAAGAAGAAGCAAGGCAATGCAAGGTAAGGTCAAGACCAGGGTCAGTGTAAAAAGGGTACGAAGTGATAGACAGAAGCTGAAGCAGAATATGATAATAATAAAAAACCGGAGGTAGGTATTGGGCCTAGTGTTATGGTTGCGTCGTTCGTTGTCTGGACTCTGTCACTCTCTTTCCGAGCGGTGGTTCCTGCTCTCTTTCTCCGTTCGTCACTCACACACATACACACACACACACACCACGGCTCACACCTCACACCTCATACGTATTCCGGAGGAGTAAGTACCTCCCATCCTGGTGTACGGAGTACGTAGTGGCGTGTAGCGTCAAAAGTAGCGTATCCGCGCCTGGATGGGGCCGCTGGCCGCCTGGTGTGTGTTGCGAAAGCATGGGATTAGGATTGGGGTTCTTTTCTCGTATGGATTAGGATAGGACAGGATGGGATGGGATGGGGATGGGACGTGAGGTGGATGGGGGCGGGGGGGAGAAGGGGACCAAGGTACCTTGTTCCATGTACCCTTGCCTGTCTTTGGATCAACCCAAGTTGGGAAGAAAGGTACGATTGTTGGTACGTATGGGACCGGGAACGGGGTACAGTATGGGGGCTCCAGCAAATAAAACATTTGGCACCTAGCAGAAGGAGGAGGAGGAAGAGGAGGAGCTGGTACACAGGCGCAGGCCGGCAGCGGCAGGAGACAAATACAGACGTAGTCACAAGTCACGACTTCCTTCAGTCCTGGCTCTTTCTTGCAGGGAAGGCAAGGAAAGGGTACTTGCACAAAGTACCTCACCTCTCTCTTCCTTTTTTTTTATGGGGTGCGGGTTTCTGGATTGAATTCTCACTTATTTTGATTTTATTTTATCTTGGCTGGGTACCGATTCGCACCGGGCAGCCCCGGCCAACACTGACAGCAACCCAAAGCAAGTGGCTAGGTAGCGACAGCAGCAGCAGCAACAGCAGCAGAAGGAAGCAAGCACACAAAACGACGGGCAAGGCAAGCGCAAGCCAGGAAAGGAAGGGAAGGGAGAGAGGATGACCAATGTCGGTTTGGACAGGCACGCAACACGCAAGTGCCCCACACCTTTTGGACGACCAACCGGGTAACAAGTAGCGAGGCGGCGGCGGTGCGGCACTAGAAGATACTGCGTAGAGAGAAAGAGAAAGCCAAAGAGACGGGCGTGGAGTTCGGAAGGGAGGGAAGGGACGTAAATGAAAGTACCTCGTCGACCACCAACTACCTAAAAGGTACCTCGCGACGCCCCGTACAGATACACCACGGTCTCGCAATCTCGCACCTGACCTAGGGGGGAGCCACAACATACCCAAGACCAACATCAAAACCACGCACAGCTCCCGCTCCAGCTTCCAGCTCCGGCGCGCCTCTCCACCTCAAAAGGCAGTCAAGACAAACCCAACTGTGACCCAGACGCACCCCCTCGGACCAAGGCCCCAGCCAGCCTCCGTCGCGGCTTCCCTAACTTCCTAGCCCCACCTCGACAGTCAGGTACTGCGTATGGATACAACTACGATGTACGTACCGATTCCTCTCCTCCTTCGTCTTCCTCCACGACCAGCCAGGCTTGATTGAGTCCATGACCACCGACCTGACGACCATTCTTTTGCACCTCTGCTCCGGGACTAGGGCGCTAGAGAAGGGGGACTGGGGGCGCGGGCTAACGAGGGCGAGCGACCGGGCTTGTGAAGAGTGACTAGACGGAGGGAGTATAGCAGGAGACCAGCCAGCATCGGGCTCAGCATCCCATCCACCCATCCATCGGCAGCGGCAGAACACACCTGACTCTTGGCCTGAGGTTCCGCCAGTTACGTGTGGGAGTGGGAGTGGGAGTGGGAGTGGAAGGTGTGAGCGTCCAAGGGGGTGTATGTGGAACGAATGGTGGGGTACAAAACCAAAAGAGAAGGAGGGAAACAAGCCAAACTCTCTTTCTCCCTCTCTCTATCCAAAGTGCGTGCAAAGTAGGGATGAAGACCGGAAAGTGGACTACGCAAGGCGAGTTTGTGTCGTTCTTTCCGAGCCGGTGGGAGTGGCACCTGAGTTGTCCTTTTTTTTTTTTTTTTTTTCCTTCTCTTCGTTTTTGCTTTCCTTCTCTCTCTCCACTCTCCCTCTTCCTGAGAGAGAAAGACCCCACTCCACAAAAGCCCAGCCTGATCCACCAGTACCCTTCTGCCTTGGAGCCAGGCGGCTGGCTGGCTGGCTGGGTTTAGAATAAGAGGAGGAGCAAAAGGCCGGTGTACTGTACGAAGTATCCGTAGGGCCACCCACAATATTGTGAGCAGGGAAGGTGAAAGTTGGACGCGGACCAAGATAACCAAAGGGTCGCGGAAAGAGAAGGGGAAATGGAAGCGACAGGGACCGACAGGGACCGACAGGGACCAAGCTGGACAAGGGAGAGAATGCGAACTGTGTATCCGTATGTATCCGTACAGGTATAGATATCTACTATGTATCCGTATGATGGATTGATACAGTGTGAGAAGGACTTGGTTTGGACCAGCCACCAGTGCGTCAGCCCGACAGCCTCTCTGACGCACAGCGTCTAGCAGAGAGGAAGGACAGAAAGATTCAACATCCAGAGCCCGCAGGTACGTACCGTGGTGCTTGCCTCACCCTCACCGCGAGTTACTACATAGTATGTCTGCCCATCGGTCGGGCGCTTCAGTGCCTTTACCAATTTCACCCATAGGTAGGCTGTAAAAATGTCACAAACTCCTCAGCCAGCCCACCAGTGTGTGTGTGTGTGTGTGTGTGTGTGTGTGTTGACTGTCGGCTTGATGTGCTCACACCCCCTGATGCTTGGCCCCCCCCTTCCCCCCCACATTCTCATTCACCTGCCTTCTTTCCTTTCTTTCGGATATCCTCCTGCTCGCTTTCTCTTTCTTTCTTATCCCACCCCCCCTACCCTCTCCACGCCTCTGCCCCATTCTCCTGCGCCAACTCCGTCCTTGTCCCTTTTTTATACACTGTCATCTGCAGTGGTATTCGAGGATTCTAGGCTACGCCCCCCGAAAGGACCAAGACCTTGCTCCCCGGTGGAACTCGGTCATGTCCTGCTAAACCTGTATGTCACATAGTACGGATACGTATCCGTATTCCCCTCAGTTAGATAGCCTGCTGCAGCCTGTGGAGGAATGGACGGCGCAGGCCACACAGCAGGCAGGCAGGCAGGCAGGCAGGCAGGCGCATGGGCGACGCTCCGGTCTGGTGGCGGCATGGCATGGCAAGCAAGGCGTCGGTCGGCGCTCTGCAAGCATCATCCACCACCGCTAGCGGACAGGCGGGCAAGGGCAGAGCTGGACAGGGCCAGGCATGGTATGGCACGGTTATGGTAGGTATGGCAGGGAAGAAGCGGCATGCAAGCAAGGTAGGCCGGGGGGGGCGGTGGGCACTGTTGCAAAGCCTGTGACTGTGAATATAGTGTAGCTAGCTCGTGACGAGGAAAAGAATGAATCGACGTTGGAAGAAAGAAAAAAAAAAAAAAAAAAGGAGGGGGGGAGGGGGCATTCGTACTCGATACTTTCTAGACGTCGTGCTTGCGTAAGTCATCGTCGTCTTTCCAAGACGGTAAAGCGTACCTGGTACCCGCATCTCCTTTATCACCTGGTCCCGGAATTGGGCCATTTCCTCCACCTGTTGAGTGATTCTCTTGACAGGCTCGGCTTCAACAACCTGATCGCTCGTATAGCATGCTGGCTGGCTGGCTGGCTGGCTGGCTGGCTGGCTTGGAGCGTGCCGTGCAAGGGACTATGTTGTATTAAACGCCTCGTGGTGCCCCATACGGACCATACTATACCACCTGGGCAAGACTTTTTTTCCTCCTCCTTCGGGATACCCCGTCCGCCATTCATCATCATCATCATCATCATC